ATATATATATACATACACACACACACACACACACACACACACACACACACACACACACCACACACACACATACACATACATACTTACAAACATGAATTTTTGTGTGACTTCCTACACACACTCTCCCTACATAAACAAAAGCAATTCCACCTCTAAATGCTTCCTAAAATCCAGCCAACCCGACAGCCTGCCTCGACCGGCGAAGCACCCCCTCCCCCCTCCCCCCACAGGTCAGACTCCAAGCAAACGTTCCTCCTTCAATATTTAATCCCCTGGAGGAACGTAAAGGGGGGGGGGGAGGGGAGGGGGGGAGGCAAGGAGAACCCGTTATCAACAAGACAAATGATGAAGAACATGTGGTGGTGAACCTTGCGGAGAACAAAAATGTTTCTTGGGGACAAGGGAAAAATACTGTAGATGTTTAAATATGTCGAAAAGGGGATTCATCTATTTATCCATTTATCTATCTATCTATTATTATTTTTTTTGGAAGTACTGAAAAGTAGAAAGTTTTCTGAAATGCCTTCAAGAGCGACACATGAACATTTTTGGAATAAGTGTTGAAAAGCATGTTTTTTTTTAATGCCTCTAAAAGCGACGAAAATATATATATATATATATATATATATATATATATATATATATATATATATATATATATATATATATATATATATATATATGAAATGCCTCCAAATGGGTTGAAATCCTGACGAAATAAAATACTGCCAATTCTAGTTCTAAAAAGCCCTTCTTTATATCTATTGTGGGCTTGAACGCTAGTATTCTACGCCTTGATAAGTAAGTAAGTAAGTAAGTAAGTAAGTAAAAAAAAAGTGTTTAAAACGTTAATTCCCGACAGTTATTCCCTCTCTTCTTTTTTTATATTTCTTTACGTAATAAACGATTAAATAAATCCACCTCAATCCCAAAAAGTGCAAAATCTTACAGAAGCTTTATAAAATAGGAAAAAATGAAAAAATAAATGTCGAAAGATGGAAAGAAACGGCAAGAAATTCCACCCAACTTCCTCAGTAAAGATTATCTACAAAATAGGTCAAGGCCACGCTTGTTGCACACATCAAAGTCAGAAAATACAAACTCTACATTTTTGGCAAGGATTTAGTGAGAATCGCATGTACCGTTATCATATTTTTAAATGCTACAGATATCTTTATAATCTTTTACTATATCCTGTCTATACATTCTTTAAAATAATAATGTTATACTTAGTCTTGATAATAATAATGTTATACTTAGTCTTGATAAATATTAAATGCGCACCTAGTTTTACAGAAAACAAGAAAAATATAGAACACCAACTATTTCTAAGTCTCCCCTTAAATCGTTTTCTTTGATATCAGAAAACGTGACATGATGTGACGTCACGCGTAACCGTCGTCTTCCAGCGCGTGGACAGATTCAGTATATTTGAACTCTGCGACACATAAGACGGTAAAATGACAGAATAATCGCCCTGTTCTTATTATTATCCTTGACCCATATCTTCTTCATTACAACTCTGAACAATTATTAATCTCTTTTGATTTTCAATTTGTCGTACCGGAAGACTGGGATGTAAAACCTTCGTGTTCATGGGATAAAATAGATATGGTTTTGGGAAAGATTGCTCTCTCGATTTTGAAATAGGTTTTCGGTGGGTAATACTAAGAAGGAAAATAAGTGTAAGACTTCGGTATCACTGTCGGTTTGTATTTCATCATCATGTTTCATCTTCGTTATCATTATCATCCTTCTGGTCAGTGTCATAACCATGGCCATAGTCAGTCGCATTTAGACCATCGTCTTCAATATCGTCATTTACTATCATTAAGAAGAAACCTTCTTACCCCAAAAATCATGCAAAAAAACACAGTTCAATAAAAAATAAAAACAGATAATACAGATCAACAAATAAATGCTAAAACATACACATTTCAATAAAAAAAAAGACAATACAGATCAACAAATACATCTAAGACATACACAGTTCAACAAAAAAAAAAAAAAAAAAACAGACAACACAGATCAACAAACAAATCTAAAACATACACAGCTCAAAAAAAAAATACAAAATAAAAATAAATAAACAAACAAAAACCAGACACCAGCGATCAACCCGGCGAGCCGAGCCGTCGCGACCGGCCGCCCTGACTCACCTCGAGGCGGTACATCTCCGGGTCGTCCATGGCGTCGGAGTGCGCGTGCGCGAGGTGGGACACGGCGAGCGGGGTGGTGGTGGCGGCGCTGCTGGCGGGGAACAGGTCACGACGCACGCGCGAAGCCCCTCCGCTCGGGGCCAGGGGCGGCTTCAGAGGGGTGCTGGTCGTGCCTGTGGGCCTGGGCGGCGAGGGGGAGAGAGAGAGAGAGAAGGGAAAAGGGCGGATTAGTTGTGAAACGAAGAATCACTCGATCGAAATAAACAAGAAGACTTCAAACGCACGCGCACATACTGTACTACACCTCGTATGGCGTGTTCCTCGTGTACAGGTAAAGCAGCTCTAAGACAAGTGTACACTACACTGCTGAGACACGTTACCTTCGTTCCAGACGGCGGAGCGAGAACAACATGGACCGGCCTCTTAGTACCAGAAAGGGTACAAAAATTCATCTATGTGTATGTACAACCTACGCATCTATGCCTGGTACAGAAGGAGAGAGAGAGAGAGAGGAAGGCGGGAAGGAGGGAGAAAGGGAAAGAGGGAGGGAGGGAGGGAGGGGGAGAGGGAGAGGGAGAGGAGAGGGAGAGGGAGAGGGAGAGGGAGAGGGAGAGGAGAGAGAGAGAGAGAGAGAGAGAGAGAGAGAGAGAGAGAGAGAGAGAGAGAGAGAGAGAGAGAGAGAGGAGAGAGAGAGAGAAGAGAGAAGAGAGAGAGAGAGAGAGAGAGAGAGAGAGAGAGAAGAGAGAGAGAGAGAGAGGAGAGAGAGAGAGAGAGAGAGAGAGAGGAGAGAGAGAGAGAGAGAGAGAGAGAGAAGAGAGAGAGAGAGAGAGAGAGAGAGAGAGAGAGAGAGAGAGAGAGAGAGAGAGAAGAGAGAGAGAGAGAGAGAGAGAGAGAGAGAGAGAGAGAGAGAGAGAGAGAGAGAGAGAGAGAAAGAAAGAAAGAAAGAAAGAAAGAAAGAAGAGAGAGAGAGAGAGAGAGAGAGAGAGAGAGAGAGAGAGAGAGAGAGAGAGAGAAAGAAGAGAGAAAGAAAGAAAAGAAAGAAAGAAAGAAGAGAGAGAGAGAGAGAGAGAGAGAGAGAGAGAGAGAGAGAGAGAGAAGAGAGAGGAGAGAGAGAGAGAGGAAAGAAAGAGAGAGAGAAGAAAGAGAGAGAAAAGAGAGAAAAGAGAAAGAAAAAGAAAGAAGAAAGAAAGAGAAAAGAGGAGAAAAGAGAGAGAGAGAGAGAGAAAGAAAGAAAAGAGAGAAAAAAGAGATGAGAGACGAGAGAGCGGTAGAGAGAGAGAGAGAAGAGAGCGAGAGAGCGACGAGAGAGAGAGAGAGAGCGAGATATGAGATAGAGAGAGAAGAGAGAAGAGAGAGAGAGAGAGAGACGAGAGAGAGAGAGAGAGAGAGAGAGAAGAGAGAGAGAGAGAGAGAGAGAGAGAGAGAGAGAAGAGAGAGAAGAGAAAGAGAGAAAAGGAAAGAGAGAAATGAGAAAGAGAAAGAGAGAGAGAGAGAGGAGAGAGAGAGAGAGAGAAGAGAGAGAGAGAGAGAGAGAGAGAGAGAAGAGAGAGAGAGAGAGAGAGAGAGAGAGAGGAGAGAGAGAGAGAGAGAGAGAGAAGAGAGAGAGATAGAGAGAAAAGAGAGAGAGAGAAGAAAAGAAAGAGAAAGAGAAAGCATAGAAAAGAAGAGAGAGAGAGAGAGGTCTGAAGTTCCATACTGATCGCGGCGCCCACACCTTTGCCATGGCGACCGCACGAAACACTATCAACATAAGGACAGATCTCGCCATGATAAGTAACATGTGTACTTGTATTGTGTGTGTTTCTTCAGTGGGCAGATTAAAGTTTACTTTATTCCTGTAAGCCTCTCCCTCTCTTTCCCCCTTATTCTCCTCCTTCTCTCCCTTTCTTCCCCCTCTCTTATTTCCTCCCTTCCGTCAGCCCCTTCTCCTCCATCCTTTCCCTCCCTCCCCTTCGTGTATTCCTATCTCCTCCTTTCCCTTATTCCCATTTTCCTTCCCTTCCCCCCTCTCTCACCCTCGTTTCCCTCTCTTTTCCCTCTCTCTCCCTCCCCTTCCCCTTCCTTTCCCTCTCCCTCCTCCCCTACCCTTCCTTTCCCACTCTCTTCCACCCTCTTTTTCCCTCTCCCTCCCTCCTTTCCTCTCCCTCCTTCCCCCCCTCCCTCCCTCCCTCCTCCCCCTCTCTCCCCCTCCCCCCCCCCTCTCCCTCCACCTCCCCACGCCGCAGGGTCTGACAACAAGACCGTTGTGGTGTAATGAAGATTCCGAACCTCGCAATTAGGGCGGGCAAAACGCTACCCGCGCCCTCGAATCCATCATCTCCCTTTCCCTCGCTCTGCTCCCCGCACCGCCGCCGCCCTGACTACTTTCCCGGCACAGAACTCCTTGCTTTCTTGCTTGCTTGCTTGCTTTCTTACTGTCTTTCTTGCTCTCTTTCTTACTGTCTTTCTTTCTGTCGACCGCGTGCGTGTCTGCGGAAACCCTGTCGCTTTTGCCGTGTGTAGAACGTTTTTCCTTCTACTGCTTTCTTACCATCTTCTTTCTCCATTCTGTGTATTCCCTTACACTCTGACACTCCCTTAGAAATACACCCTTAGGCTCCAAGTATACTCTGCTATTCGCAACATACACACAGAATCTGATCTTTACGCCACACCATAACTCGCTTTTCAATCATCTGAATTCTACCTTTTGTGATGTTAGTTTAGCACTTTTTTACACTATCTATCTACCTAATATACAATACGAATTACTTATAAACACGAGGTATTACTCTCTATCCCAAACTATAATTATCTTGTCCCTTCCTAAATACATTCTTCTAACACTCTGACTTATTGATTTATTACACCATACAACATTCACAACAGACTCGGTTTCTGACCTTTTATACATCCTCAAACCATAACCACTCTCTCATTTTTGTCTTTTTTTTCACGATCACCTTAAAAAAAAAACTCTCAAATCTTACTCTTGCTGGGACTTAAGAGCAAAAAAAAAAAAAAAAAAAAAAAAAAAAAAAAAAAGGATATGAAACTGTTTTTAGAAAAATATAAAAGACACTGTCCATAACATGTTACCAGTTCAGACACTCACGGAGCGACTCTTAAGCCTAGGCCAATTGTATGTATGGGGGAGGGGGGGGAAGGGAGGGGGGGCTAGGTAGTGTCTTTCGGGAATTAGCATGACTGGATGCCCTTCCTAATATGAACTGTGGGGTCGAGCGGATAAAAATACTAATATTTCATGTTCATTGATAAAAAAAAAAAAAAATTGCACAAGGCTTGATTTTCTCCTAAACCCCAATTCCTTGAATCAGTAACAAAAATATATATATAACTCAAGATTAAAACAAAATCAAAACGCATTGACCTCCATTTTTAACCCCAAAAAAACATTTTCCCTAAACACCAAAAAAGAAAAAAGAAAAGAAAAGAAAAGAAAAAAAAAAGAAAAAAAAACTAAAGACCAAAATAATTTCTAATCATAAACCCCGTGAGACTCGATCTTTATCCGCTGCGTAAAAAAAAAGAAAAAAAAAATCATATTTCTTGCGTATTACTGATAACACACCAGTGCCGGTACATGGAGGATCATCGTTGTGAATTTCCCTGATATGGTCGTTTCAGGTTTATTTTATTTTGTTTTATTTTATTTCTTTTATTTTATTTATTTATTATTATTTATATTATTGTTATTATTATTATTATTTATTATTATTATTATTATTATATATTATATTATTTTATCATTTTTATATATTCTTAGGCCGATTTTTTGGGTAAAGAAGTCTACGGGGCAAGTTTCCGCATTTCACTATCCAAATGTATAAATCAGTCGTGTATTGAACTTTTTCTCTCTCTCTTCTCTTTCTCTGTTCTCTCTCTCTCTCTCTCTCTCTCTCTCTCTCTCTCTCTCTCTCTCTCTCTCTCTCTCACTCAACTGACTCTATCTCTCTTTTTCTGTCTCTCTCTCTCTCTCTCTCTGTCTCTCTCTCTCTGTCTCTCTCTCTCTCTCTCTCTCTCTCTCTCTCTCTCTCTCTCTCTCTCTCTCTCTCTCTCTCTCTCTCTCTCACCCTCTTAATCACATGAAAATCAATGATCACATAACAGACCAACTTCAAATTAGCTACCTTGGACCATAATGTCTCATATAACGCTAAGGTAAACAAAAGGACATAAACTACAACCAGAAAGTCTTAAAATAGACCATGCAAACAAAAACATTCCAAAGAATCAACTTTTTTTCGCTCCCGTTTGGAGTACGATCATTTTGGCAACGTCCCCCCTAAAAAAAAATAATTTCTGCCATAAATACAGCACTTAGAACAGAGACATTTTGGCAACGTCCCCCCTAAAAAAAATAATTTCTGCCATAAATACAGCACTTAGAACATAGAAACTCCTTAAAAGAAACGGTAATCCCACAAACAACAAACAAAAAAAAACAACAAAAACAAAACAAAAAAAAAACACCTAAAAAATACGAGTCCCCCCCTTTAAAACAACCCCCAAAGTCCACGAAGAAAAGTCAACACAGAAACACGTTTAGGACATGTCTCACAGAAAACGGGAACGCCGCCCCCAGCCTACCTCCGACCGAACGCTGCCTTACCTCAGGGGAAGTGTGGCTTGGCTACGAGAGCCTCTGTGAACGTCTGTGAGTGACCTGGCGCGGGGCTGCTGGGTGTCCCTGGGCGTCCGCGTGTCCTCGAAGGTCAGGTCACCGCGGCTCAGGCGGGAGGACTCGTCGGCAGCCTCCGCCCGGCGCTCTAGGGAATGGTGTCTGAAGGAGATAAAGGGCAGGAGGTGATTGATGTTAGGGTGTGTCGTGAGCTTTATCTTGCTTTATAAAATAAATAAGATGGAAATAATGATGATGAAAATAATGTTAATATAATAACAGAATAATACAGTCAAATGTTAAAAATAATAATGATGACGGTGATAATGATGATGCTACTACTACTACTACTACTAATAATAATAATGTCATATAACAAGAAGGATGCTAATAAAAATACTACCAATGATGATAATGATAATATTAATTATAATACTAATAATGATAATATTAATAATAATAACAACAACAATACCCAAACACCACACCACCACACAACCCTCCCACCACCGTCCCCCCCAGACGAGGAGGACGACGACCCACCCTCACCCTCACCCTCACCCACCTGGCAGAATCCGTCGACGCGCTCTTCGCAGTCTGAGGGCGAGGTCGAGGAGCCTAAGTTGTGCGTGAGGAGGTTTCGGAGCCTCGTGGACACTGCCTCCCCCTCCCGCACCAGCAGGTCGAGGTCGCTGTCATGGCGGCCGACACTCCCACTCAGACGCTGCGGGAGAGAGGCGGGAGAGAGATGGCTTGAGTTCGAGGGCGAGGGGAGTCTAGGGTGAGTGGGTCTCTGTTGCTCTTTCTGGAGGGGGGGTCTGTGGTTGTTTGTTTGTTTTGTTTCGTTTTGTTTTGAGTATTTGTCTGTTTGTGTGTGTGTGTGTGTGTGTGTTGTGTCTGTGTGTGTGTGTGTGTGTGTGTGTGTGTGTGTGTGTGTGTGTGTGTGTGTGTGTGTGTGTTGTGGCTAAAACAAAAAATAAAGCAGTTATTTTCATCTTTATATCGCAGGCCTAGATAAGTAACGAACTTTCACACTATCAAAATAAGAACCAATGGGTAGAAATAGTCACATGTACTACAAAAGCGTTAGACTACCGTACTTGTAATACCATCAACCATAACATTAACTCATACAAACATACATATCCGAATCAAAATTTAACCTTAAACAAAGCACATGCAGTTAACCGTGACACGCGCACCCAAGCAAATTAATTCCCCGTATAATGAAACGCAGTATAAATATCCCCCCTCCGCCTCCTAAAAATTCAATAAAGCCAAGGCAACCATAACCACCCAAAAAAAGAACGAAAAAAAAAAAGAAAAAGAAAAAAAAAAAATAATAATCCGTTACCCTCGCGCCAACCGTCCCAGAATAGCTTTCCCGCCAAAACGTCCCGCGACAGATTAGGAAGAGCGTCGGAGTAAATTTCATTTAAATACACACAAGAGGGTGCCATTACACCTCTACGGGCAAGGGTGATTATTTCGGGCACTAAACTCGGGTTCACTTCAGCCGCAGGGTGGGGAGAGGGAAAGGCAATGATAAAGGGGGAAGAGGGAACACTGTGATAAAGGGGGAGAGAGGGCGATGGGTGATGATGGAAAGAAGGAAGATGATACGGCAAAGATTTCATTATTTTTTTTACACGTACTAAACAAGTGCTAAAATCATGAGTTTCTTAGAAACAGGTAATAAAAAAGAAAGAAAGAAAGAAAGAATAAAAAACATTGCTTAAAATTTTAATAATTAACCATTTAACTTCACAATAAAAATATTCAACTACACCACACATGGCAGAACACAATACATATGAAGCCAATAAGATTTCTATTTTTTTCTTCAAATTATGAAGAAGAGCAGAAAAAAGCCATTATACGCAAAGAAAACGAGAGCTGTAACCGCCATTTAGGCCAAGATCGGCAACATTTCCCAGAGATTTAAAAAAAATAAAGATCTAGTTTCAATTCCATTTGTTAAAGTGGATATTCTTTACTGTGACATGCTGCCTGTTTTATTTTGCTTCTAAATCTCCCCCTGTGTGCAAGGAATGGCCGGGGTTACCATCCACAGGCAGGATCGAACGCAGGTCAGCAAGATTGAAAGACCAGCACGTTATCGTTGCATTACACACCACAATTAGAATGAGGCCAAGTCTGGTTACAAGGGTTACAGCTTCATCGTTTTCTTGTCTCTGATTTCCGAGACCTCATCGTCTACGGCATTTCTCAGGTTAACGTCATTCTCTTCATATATATATATATTTTTCTCTCTCGCTTCTTTCGACTTTTTTTTCAAATTCTCGCTGGAACCGAACATGGAGGACAGAAAGAACATATACTTCGCTATTTATATGACAATGAACTAATGAGCTAATTATAAACAGAAATAAAAATACAACCATTCGATAATAGCCATTTCGATAAACGGAGATTAACTATATACCCTTATACTTGCTTATATAATGAGCATACAAAACAGCTGCTTCTTTAAGTATATCATACACATGCCCTTATCTTTCCAACCTGTATTCGCACATACTCGTTCGCCTACAGAAGATATATTCCTGTTATATCAATCCATTTTGTCAATAAATATAATAAGGTAAAAACTTCTTTCTACATCTATCTATCTATCTATCTATATCTGTGATGTGTGACATGTATCGATCTACATGGCTGCATGTTCTCTGCATACAGTATCTCACGTTATAAATCTTAACATGTGTTGAAGTTATACACAGCATATCCATATGTATGTATGCACATTTGTATGAGTGACTGCATGTGTGAGTGAGTGGATTTGTGTGCGTGTTTGTGTACGTGTGCGCGCCTGTTCATCTATTCTTTCTATAAACAATTATTATACCCACACAGCATATCCATCTATACATACACGCGTACCGTACATGAGCGTGCAAGCAAACATACACGCCGCCACACACGTCACGCTCCAGCTCCTCTCATGCACTGCCGACTGCCCGCTTGGCCTTCGCGGAAGCCCCAGTGTCGTGGCTCCCGACCTACCATCTCCTATCATGCTAACCCGGCATGTCGTGGCGTTCCTTTTGACTGCATTAATTAATAAACCGTATTCATGTTGACAAATGCAGAAAAGGTATGAATGAGAATGAATATCTCCTGTGTTGTGAAGATATTCATTCTCATTCATACCTTCCCTACATCAATTACTACTGATTACTGATTATTTTGACATTACGTTTGTCATTATTCGAAGTATCATCATCACAAGAGATGAGTGTTACTAATATTCTTGTATAAATATTAATAGAACTATTTTCACCTTCAGTCTTCCTCTTAAACCATCCTTCATATCACAATCGATAACTTTCCTACTATCAAATTATCAATTATCAACTCATTCCCCTGACAAGATTGCACACGATAAATCACCTTCCAATAATACATCATTATCAACACGACAAGCTCATTCCCTTTTTTCTCTTTTAATTAATAACTCATTGTAAAATCAACGCTCTGCAACATCAACAATGCAAACGGACAACGCTAATAAAGTCATCGTTTTCCCGTTTTCTGTCTATCTATTCATCCCTCTTTCTTCTCTGTCTATCGTCTCTCTTTCTGTCTATCTATCGTCTCTCTTTCTCTTTCTTTCTTTTTGTCTATCTATCCTCTCTGTTTCTCTTTCTTTCTTGTTCTATCATCCTCTTTTCTCTTTCTTTCTTTCTCTATCGTCTCTCTTTCTATTTCTTCTTCTGTCTATCTATCGTCTCTCTTTCTCTTTCTTCTTTTTGTTTTCTAACCTCTTCTCTCTCTCTCTCGGTTCCCCCTTCAGAACTTTCCCGATCGAAAACAAAGAAGAAAGAAATGAATATCAAGGCCAAAGCTGAAGAAAAAAGAGGAATATCCCGATCAAACTTGAAAAAAGTGACTATCGAGCCCTTCCCCCCAATATATATATACATATATATGTATATATATATATATATATCCCGACATCCCAAGCCACCGAGAATACAGAAAAGAAACAATCTTTTCCGAAGTAAAAAAAAAAACACACACACACACACCAGAACTTCAACAATAGCAAAAAAAAAAAAAAAAAAAAAAAAAAAAAAAAAAAAAAAAAAAAAAAAAAAAAAAAAAAAAAAAATACATATATCTTCATGCAGCTGTATATAGAATGAAAAAGATAAACATTTTCCAGGAAGAGAGGCGGGTTCTGGTCATGCGGGCTGCCTCGTGCAAACTGAGAGAACTGGACTTTTTATTGTAGCAAATAAACAGTCGCTGTATAAGGTATGGCAATAAATCATAATAAAAACAATAAACATGGCAATAATCAATAACAATTAAATAATAAAAATGATAATAATAATAATAATAAACAATAATAAAAATAATAATAATAATAATAATAATAATAAAATAAAAATAAAAAATAATAATAATAATAATAAAAATAATAATGCTAATGCTAAATAATAACAATAACAATAATAAACAATGATAACAATAATCATCATCATAAAAATAATAAAGAAAATAACAACAAAAACAATTATGATAACAATGATTACAAAGACATCTGCCAGTCTAGCCAGTAAATGAGGAAAAAAGATGTCAAAGACAAACGAAAGAAAAAGAGAAAGAAGAAAAGTAGAAAGGAGAGGAAGAATGGATATACATAGATAGATAAAGATAGTTAAAAAGAGAGAGAGAGAGAGAGAGAGAGAGAGAGAGAGAGAGAGAGAGAGAGAGAGAGAGAGAGAGAGAGAGAGAGAGAGAGAAGAGAGAGAGAGAGAGAGAGATAGATAGATGATTTAGAGAAGAGAGAGAGGAGAGAGAGAGAGATGATAGAGAGAAAGAGAGAGAGAGAGAGAGAGATGATAGAGAGAAAGAAAGAGACAAATAGCTAGAGAGACAGAAGAACCAAAACAAAGATCGGAAAAAAATAGAGAGAAGATTCAGAGACCAAAAAAAGAAAGAAAAAAAGAGATAAGAAACGAACATGCAAAAGCAGACAAAGGAAGAAACAAAGCCGTTAAAAGAAAGAAAGAAAAAAAACAAGAATAACAAAGCAAAGAGAGAGAATGAACCCTCGCGTTTAGGAAAGGAAGTAGCAGAGAACAGTAATCCCCCTCCCCCTCCCCCCCCCTTCCCCCCATGACATATCAATACTCGGGGGACGCGGATCGAGGGGACTGAAAGGTGACTGAGGGGAGAGGCAGTGACTGAAGGGACAGACGGTGACTGAGGGGAGAGGCTGTGACTGAGGGGAGTGAAAGGTGACTGAGTGGTGACAGATGGGAGGCAGTGACTCAAGGGACAGACGTGTGAGGGAGAGGCAGTGACTGAAGGGACAGACGGTGACTGAGGGGAGAGGCAGTGACTGAAGGGACAGACGGTGACTGAGGGGACTGAAAGGTGACTGAGGGGACGGACGATTTCCAGGGCAGGAACTCGAGGTTAAAAGGGGCACTGTAGTTATAGGACATCAAGGCAATTTTGGCATTTTTCAAGGGCATCAAGGCAACCGCAATAACCACTGGAGGGCATCAAGGCAATTGTGTAACACCATGTATAAATGATCTCAAAATGTACAATTTAGCTGGTATCCTGTGCACGATGAAGATTCTACGTGCAGCGCTGTCTGGTCTTTTGCACAACTCATCCGTCTATCATCGCGCTACGAACCCTATGGATCCTATCTACCCGCCGGTCCTGGTCGCACGCCG